TTGTGTATGTATATATGCATATATGTGTGCATGTATATATGTATGTATGTGTGTGTATATGTATGTATTCATGTATGTGTGTATGTATATATGTGTGTGTATCTATGTATGTACTGAATGTGTGTATGTACTGTATGTAGGTATTTGTATGTCTGTATGTATTTGTATGTATGTATGTGTACTGTATGTATTTCACATATTTACTGCATATGCTCTTTGCAATTCTAAAGCATTGTGCAATAAAAATTACAGTCACTTACAGTATTTACGTAGAACATACATACATAATATCATTATGGTAGAACTGTGACGATTATAATCAATAAAACACACACCTCCTCAGAGAGTATTGTTCAATTTAGGAAAGAATTTCAGGAAAAAAATAAATAAAGGAATGTATGAAATTAGCTTGACAGCTTTTGATTTTGAGAGCTAGTTCAAAATTTTTGTATGTGATGACTCAAGCGATGAAATGAGGACTATTGGCTTTATAGAGAAGTTATAAGTATGTTTCATTTTGACTGACAAGACAAAAGCAAATGATAATGTTAAAAAAGAGCAGAGAATTGTATGAAAGTAACTGATACATGTCTAAAGCTTTTGTAAAGTGTTCATAGGAATATTAAACTGCTACGATGATGTGCACCAATGACTCAATGTTGTGGACTAATAGTTTTGAGAACTTTAAGTCTGATGTGAGAAATGCACCAAAGCAACTGCGAAAAACTGTAAAATACTTAAAAGTGGATTTGTATTGGTTGCCTTTAAGTTCTGTCCTAAGCATATTACCCGCGCTTTTACATGTGGATGGAATAAGGCACAGCAGCATCAGAGAGGGACGCTTCCTCACCAGTGGGGGCGGGTCCCAGCTCAAAAGTGGCCAAAATGACATGCACTGACATGCTTGCAATACCACCCCGAGCCGATGGGGGTGGACCCAGAAGAAGAATTAGCCAATGCTAACATTAAGCGTTGGCAGACCTCTCAAAAACGTCTTTACAGGATGGTCCAAAAGTTGGCTCTTGGCCCAAAGCTCCGTTCCACATGTGTGTCAATGCTGAGGGGGGTGAATTTTTTTGGTCCACTCTAGTTTACTTGCTGTGAATTTTTGAAGTCTCTCGTTCAAATGAATGGAGCTGCGCCGGCTGACGCATGCGCAGATGCGTTTTTTCACAATTTTCTTGTGGGCGGGACCACTCGCAGCCATTTTGGAGAGCTCCAGTAGAGCACATTTTTTGGCCCATTAGTTAGAACCGCGGAGATAGGCGTGACTCTGTCCGTTAATATATACAGTCTATGTTCCTCACACATGTTTTTATAAAGCATTGGTTCACAGGGGAGTAGCTGTAAGCCCTTCAAATGGCTGCACTTTGTTAATCTTAACAACAAAGTGAGTGCGTAACAGCTGCAGCGTTGTGTAGTGAGTGGCTCGTACATGTCTCTATTTTATTGGTAATTATAAAGCATCTTGTGGTGCGATCAGACAGAGCAGTTCGCCACGGTCCAGTGCTCACAGATGAGGTGATAAAACATCCACAAGCAGAGCACACTCACATAATGGATTATAGATTCAATTTAGTCTGAATGTAAAGTGAGCGGGCGAGGCGTGGTGTGGCGTCAGGCAAGTGACATCCTTTCTTAATTGAGCGGCGGTGAGGGCGGTGGAGTGTGGACAAAGACAAGCCAGCTCGGCCACTCATTTTACTGGAGGTTTTGTTGTTTTAAGTTGAAATACTATGAATCACTATGGGCTTTAAGAATTATTACTTTGACATGTACTGTGTCAAAGTACATGTGAAAAGTGAAAGTGAAATAGGATAATTAAATAGGAATATATACAGTTAACGGTTATGGATTGCGTTTTCAAAGAACAAGCGAAAAACAGCCGTTGTACACTCATTTAGTTTGTTGGATGTGGTTTTTAACCCTTGCACTCCTATTGAGGTGCACGGGTGTAACCAGGTGAACCAGATCCTTTTGAGACAGCATGCATTTAATATTAGGGACAAGCCATGCTTATATTTTAAATGTATGTATTGATCATGTTGGCATAGACCGTAACGAAGTGGACTAACGGATTGATGGAGTCACCCTTAGTTTTTGCTGAGTTCCTCAAATGGGCTTTTGTTACAAAGGGGCAAACTACTTGCTGTAACAGGGGCAGATTCAAACTAATGTGTTGTTAATGTGAGTTGACCATTTCTGGAGTTTGCATTTTCAATAATCAACCTCTTGCTTTGGTTTTAGATTAATATAGTAATGTTTGCATTTAGGAACAGGCAGATGTACTCATTCCGGTTTATCTACCAGTTTGTTTGTGCAAGAGAATGGGAGCTCACACATTCCTTTAGGTCTTGGGGATTTAATCCCCAAGTTTATAATATAAAGAGCCTATACTCAGATGCATGTAATATAGGAGCACAAGCCAGTACTCCTTGTATTGATAATTTACATACATAGTAAAACCAGCATTAAAATGTTAAATCATGTGCAACAGAGCCACAGACTGCATACGTGTTCTCAGATTATATGGAGTTTAGCACCTACGATAATACATGAGGCTCTAAATACTAAGGCACTAAATAGAACTATACCTGAACAACTACTATATTGTTGTATTGAAATAAACTTTGAATTGTTTAAAATGATGTAAAGAAAAGTCTTATTCAAGTATTCATAATGTGAACTATAAATGCATTGAACTGGCTTCTCATCAATTTGATCCACCAGTGTGCGTCTTTTATGCATGTTTTCCTCTGTGGCGTTGTGGCTTTGCAGCGACAGCGGCTTTGAGGATTGGTGTGGAGCTAAATTGCTGCGTGCGAGCTTGGTCACGGCTCAGCTCTCCCTGAGATAATGAAATGACAATTAACGGGAGTACGCGTGTCATCTGCTCGTTTGTACCTAACCGCTAGCCGCACGGTGGGACGGCCGCACAGACAGCAGTTGAGGCGCTCTTAACTGTGCAGCAAGCGTTTCACAGTGATGTATGGACGTCGAGCTAAGCTCAATACACACAGAAGGCAATGCAATTATGCTTAATCAAAGTTTACTGTCCATGTTATTGTTTTATAATAGCTTTATTCATCTACAGACTATAGACAGGCCCACCGCCTTGTCATATTGATTCTTTCTATGAAAATCTGACCTCAAATGTACTATTTGCTATGCATGGTCTAATCTACTGGTCAAAATATCACGAGTCAACAATTATTTGGACAAGTAGAACATGGGGAGAGGGATTCAAAACGGTATAGGCTGACTCCACAAATAACAGCTTCAAATGAGTCAAGTTTCATGCAAAACCTACAAAGTTTCCCATTTTACTACAACTTCAACATATTGTTGAAGCAAAACATTGCATCATCCTGAAGAGCCCAGATATTAAACATGATAAACATCTGGAAATGAAATGTTAAAATCAGGAAGTTAATTAATATCACATTACATTTTAAGGTTGCTTTCAAAGCACAATGTGTGTTTCAATGTAAAAATAAAAGAAAATAGTTAAAATGCTATTTTTTTTTTTTACATTTTTACTGCAGGGAAAATGGGTACAACGTAGAATGAGCACTTCTGTATGTGTTTTGGTCTGAGAATGGCAGTGCTCCATTTATCCAGTGGGATCATTCCAATGTGCATTTAAAGCTGTTTAAGTTATAAAGAAGTGTTGCTCCAATTGACCCAGTGACACCTGACTCGATACATTATTTACAATAGCACAGGCCAAAACCTGTACCATGGCACAGAGAGCAGGCATAGTGGGCCACCGCAGATGTACGCCAATGGAAAAGGTGTGCACCACGGGTATAGTGATATTGAAAAGGACTGATATAATTTGACAAGAGCTTTTTAGCTAATCCAAATACTGTGCACACTTTGCATGATAGTTCAGCTGTCACGCACTCTATGTGCAGAGCATATTTGTGTTATGTTTTTTCCTCTTTTTGTAAACCCAATGGCTAATTCATAACCATTGTCTAAGAAACACACTGCTGAGTTGGAATTGAACTTTATACTTCAAAGATATCAGATGTGTAAGATGCATGTTTCCACATTCATCTAGCTCCAAACACTTGTAAAGTTTGTCATGAAATGACATGTGTGTTACACTGCTGCAGAGGCATACGTGATGAAAGCTGTGTAATCGAGTTAGTGAAGTCCCTGTACGCATGGCTGATCAGGCGAAGTCACTGAGCCAAGGCGGCACAATGCAGCGTATGGGCCAAAATGTGGAATTAAAGCTCCGCTAAACAAGCGCAGGCCTGTGAAGTGTTCAGGGGAAAATAATACATGCAGCTGCATTTTCTATGTCAGTGTTTGTTCAAATCCTTCACCAGGCAAGGTCAATGCAGAGTGACAGAACAAATGAATTTTCTGAAATACAGACGATTGCAATGTTATGGAAAAAGAAAAAAAAAACACTAATACATTTTGATCAAATAAAAACATATTACAAAAATAATTAATGTTGTTTTATTATATACGTGTACTTTCTCATTCTTGATTTCACAATTTGTAATTTGACTGTTACATATCCCACGTACCATAGAACGAAGTCAGTCCAATATATTGAAATTGTCCAAAAGACTAATTTGATCATTTATGTATCTAAAATGTAGGTATGGCAGCTTTATTTAATTTAAAGCCTATTCAAAAGAAATAACACAAATAAGATACTTTTGTGATGGACTGGTCTGAATTTGTAAAACAATATATTACATGTAATTTGAATGGGTATTATGTGTGGGTTTGGAAAAACACATGTATAAGACTGACCAACCCCCAATTTACACCAATCATCTTCAGTGCATCTTTGATATGTAAACATAGAACACAGGTTTTTATAACGTCACACCTACATTACATAACGTGAACAATTTGTGATGATCAGGGTAACAACAGCACAATGTTCTTAGCCCTAATAATCCCAATAATCAATATTTTAGTTACGTGATGAAAGTTTGACCTGATCAATGTGATAAAACAAATGTGTGTACCTGGTACTGGCTGGCCTTGGCGAGCTCCTGATTGGCCGATTCCACATTAGATGTTGTGGTTTGAATGTAGTCTTCTATGCTGTCTGTGAATGGATAAAGAAAAGCACATCACATACTGAACAATCAATGGCACTAAAAAGACTCCCGGGGAAGACCCAGGACACGGAGGGACTCTCAGCCGGCTTAGTAACCCCTTGGAATTCCGTCAGATGAGCTGGAAGAAGTGTGTGTGGATATGAAAGTCTGAGCGTCCCTTCTTAGACTTCTGCAACACAGAAACGGATAAAGCGAAATAAAATGGATGAATGGAAAACAGAAATAGCGCTTTGGATGAAGTATTGGTAAAAGTAAAGGAGCTATATCTGTTTCTGCAAGGTTTTTTTTCTGTTTGAATGTTTAGCACCGCCCCCCAACTCGCTCAGAGGCTTCTCATTTCCCCTACGCTCTCCTGCCACGGATCCATCTAGTTTTATTTGTGATCTGATACGTATGCTAACATTAGCATTGGCGCAACTTCTTGTAAGTTGCACAACAATCACTGATGAAATGGTAGAAAAGCAACGCACTGCTAACAAAATACTGACTAGGGATGTACCGATCCGATATTCGGAATCGGGGGCCGATACGGGTATTTTGCAAGGATCGGATAATATTGGATTTGTTAAATATGAAGCCGATTTAGTCACTTTTCATAATGCTCACGCTTTACGGCTGCCGTAAACTAAATACAATGTAAAACTAGGGCTGGGCAATAAAACGACAACGAGATATAATGCGATAGACACGTGTTCGATATCAATAGAAAACGGAGTCGATAGAATGTTAGTTTAACATCACTCAGTTAGAAAAAAACAGGCCGAAAACACAGGAAGTAAAGCCGAGTCAGAGGCGCGCGGCATTCTGGGGGATGTAGGCATAGGCTTCTCAACCTATCACAGCCAAGCGTGAACCGCAAAACTTTCTGGGAAATGCAAAAACAACAACCGCACAACGCGTAGCCTACATGGATCCAAAGATTGTTTTTCAATGCTGTGTCAATGGTTATGCATGTCCGTGCGAGGCATAGCATGTGCGGCGCAGGAGAGGCAGTGGACACAGAGACCCGATGCATGCGGCGAAAGCAAGTGATGAACTTTTTCCTCTGTGTGGCTATCAGAGAGCGGCCGCACGGAGCCGTCATGGGGACACAAAACAGGAGATAAACCAGGTCTAAACCAGGATTTCACCGGGACTAGCTATGGGGGAGACTGCTTGTGAACATATTCCTCGAGCCTCATTCCCCGTGACTGTAAACAAGGCTGCTAACGTGTGTTAGCAGACACGACAAACATATTTATTGAGGTAAAAATGCAAAATCTTTAATGCTTTGAAAATATTAGAAAAAATTGTATCGGATCGGTATCGGCAAAACAATATTTAAGAATATCAGAATCGGATCGGATTACAAAAAATCTGGATCGGTACATCCCTAATACTAACTAGTTTTGCGTCCAAAGGTAGTCCAAGGCGGTCCCGCTCCCGCAGGTCTCTCCCATAGACAAGTCTCTCCACAAAATACGATGTAAGCTAACGCTATGGTCACCCGGGCTGATTTCTTCTTTGATAATTTTTTCGCTTTAGTTCCCTCTTCTCTTCCTCATTGTTGTGCCGTTTGGGCTGTTTTGCTGTGTATGCAGTTACAGCAAGGGGAGTTATAGCCGATTCTGCTAACATGCTACTGTGTTTACCTGAGCTGTAGACGCTAGAGGAGGCAGCCTGTTCATAACAGCCCCTCGTTCTGTGATTGGTGGAGAGCTCGCGAGAGTCATGCTAAGTTTATACTCAGAACCTTTACGGCCTGAATTCATACACAGTTAGAAACATTCAGTTTTCAATTAAATTATGGATTTTAATACAACTTGTATGTAGTAATAGGCATATTTATGAACTCATAAAAAAAATCGGGTATAGCTTCTTTAATTTGCAAATACAGATACGCAAGTAATATTAGAAAACCATGTGAAAGGCTTACACTTTGCTCTTCACCAGGTAGTTTTGTATAGGCCGGATACATTATAATGTAAGTCAAACCCTTCTTGAGCAAATCCTTTATAAAGTACTGCCAAAAAAGCCAAACATGTTGAGGATTGTAACAAGAGCAATATAACATTAAAAATATTTTGAAAATGAATATATGTTTTTGCATATGAACTCTTTGTTTTTCAGTGCAATAAAGACATTTAAAGTAAAACCAAATGTGCAAGACAACAGCTAGTTATATTAATCTATTTTTCAGCTGAAACGTTACATGGGGCTTAAAGCATGTCACCTCTTTTCACTGGAATCCTTTCTATCATTTCACTTTTTGTGTTTAAATTTCAAGCCAATCAATGTCGCTTCTAATCTCAACACGGTCCCAGTTTGCAGAATCAAAATGAGCTTAATGGAAAAGTGTCTTTTGTTACAGACCAGAGCAGTCTGGTGCATCTACAGCTCTGCTTAGAACTAACAGGGCCCCATTAAAAACAAGGGAGCTCCTTTATGCCGTGTCAATACCAGTGGGTTAATGGAACGAGACCGAGTGAGCCTAATGATGTGTTTGCACTAAAATATTTGGAGCTGAAGCGTAATCGGTGGCATATGTTTTGGAAAAGCAGATAACGTGGATGTTGTATTGATTGCTTGGGGGTGTTGTGATGTGGTTGGTTGAGATAGCCTCTGGTAATTACTGCCACACAAAGAGATTATGCAGAATTAACTTTTGAATTTATAACAGTGGGGAGAGCAAAGTGGATTACATTTGGGACCATTGATTTGACGCAGCATCTGAACATTGTAGCAGTAATAATACATAGATGTTTTTTCCAATGTTTGACCTAAAAGAGACACGTTATCAATTTTTAAAAACTTTTCATAGTGTTAAAGCGTTTTTGCTGGGGGGTTTTTTGAGTTACTTTTAGCTTCACCTGTTAGTATTAGATAGCAATATGGCCTACGTGCAGGACTGTACAAGGACTCTACAAGGACTCCATGTTATGACTATGATGTGACTGTCTCTTTGTGACACGTATGTCTTTCCATGTGTGACGTGACAATGACTATATAAACTGTGTACTGCCTTTATTCTGTCTGCGAGAAAGAAACAGAGTAAACCAGTGGAACTTGAGAGAAACTTAAATAAACTTCCAGAGTTTGGCACACCACGATCCGTCTCTGTCTGCTAAATCCTGACAGATTTGGTGGAGAATGCGCGGCTCAGTGTGTGCCATTCTCTGGATTGTTTTGAGGGAGTTTGCTCTGTTTCTTTTCCTCTGCGTGAGAGACCGGCATGCTGCGTCTGGGAGCGGAGATTCCAGCAGGCTGGAAGAGCTGTTCCTGGATGCTTCTTGTCGCTTCTGTCACTTTTGTTTTTTAAATTGAATATTCCGACGCGGAAAAGAGGTTGGCAGACCTCTCGGACAGTCCTTGGTACCTGTTTGACAAGAATAAGGTAAGCAGACACCTTTTTATATGTAAAGTCTGTATAATTGGATACTAGCTAAATTTTGGTCTGTTTTTGGGGTCTGTCAAACTCTCTAAATTGTATTTGAGAAGAAGTCTCGGGGTTAGAGTCCCTTTGAGAAGAAGTCTCGGGGTTAGAGTCCCTTTGAGAAGAAGTCTCGGGGTTAGAGTCCCTTTGAGAAGAAGTCTCGGGGTTAGAGTCCCTTTGAGAAGAAGTCTCGGGGTTAGAGTCCCTTTGAGAAAAAGTCTCGGGGTTAGAGTCCCTTTGAGAAGAAGCTTCAGGGTTAGAGTCCCTTTGAGAAAACGTTTTCGGGGTTAGAGTCCCTTTGAGAAACGATAGAGAAGGATCCTAAGTGAAACCATGGTGTAAAATTAAAAGCAATTTATAAAAAGGGAAACGTGTTAAAGAGGCCTTTGTTACAAAAGCTTTGAAATTGACGAATTTCAGGCTGATAAATGACAAAAGTAAAGAAGCAACAATATTTCAGTGATCACGGTTTAACCCTTCAAGGTCTAAGCTCATTTTGGGGAACTTTCCTCGCCTGGTTTTCTTTGTGTATAATTGCTCATAAAACAGTCATCTTGTGATGCAGAGTCAAGCAGTAAACTTTGTTTTTTTCAGTACAACCTGTGGATTTATAATATTCATAGTGTACAGCTGTCATATGAATTATATAAAAAAATATGGAATCATGAAGACAAAGAAAAAAATGAAACGGAAATTCAATTTCACCAAAATGTTTTGAAAAACACAATGAAATGCTATTGCTAACTTTTTACACTGTATAGAAATGTTATTTAGGGTCTTGGGGTTGATGGGGAAAAAAATTTGAACCTGTGACTATTATAATTTTTACAAAATTCCACTACAAGTGAAAAAAACGCTGTACTCCTGATGCCCTTCCTGAAGCAGTTTGTCTATGTCTATATATTGCTTCAGTATCACAGCTGTAAGATATGTAAAACAAAAAAACTAAGAAAACAAAGAAAGAAAAACAACATCTTATATTCATATACATCATATCATTATAATGTATTTATCGATGTCAATAATAAATATATAATATAATTACATCAATAATGCGCACTCTTCAGCCCGGTGCTGGCTCTTGTGAGCGCTGCATCTGCGTCTCCTCCTATCTTTGTGTAATGCACTTTCAAGCCCAGTCTCTGAACACACACATCACTCGTAGATCACGTAGATCAGTGATACAAAGCTACATTAGCTGTGTCGGGGACGCATTTTCGTAACATTCCGCTAAAATAGTGCGTCTTTTACGCATCAGTAATTGCAATCGCAGCTGTAATTTCAACTATGGGACAATAAATACTCACAGGAGAGTGGATCAGCCTACTCTCTGACAATCTTTGGCAGTCCCTGTGTCAGCGTGTAAGCAAAATAACTTTACTGTTTTGGCTGTTTTACCTCACGGGAGACCGCTCGAAGATCCGATTGGACACCGACTTTCAAACACACGTAGAAAATCCCCCAAAAGTTACACAGACAAAACAAAACTAGCGCTGTAATGCCTGAAATGTGTACTTCACGGAGAAAAAAAAAGTAAGTCGCTACGTTTTGCCGTTCATGAGAAAATTGAACATT